TTTTTCCAATCGCTACCAGCCTTGGTAGCGAGATTTGTAGGCCCTTTCGTTGTGCCTTCTCAGTGATTCCAAAACCTTGAGGTGATTCTGTTGTCACAGTCACAGGGTTTTAATGGGGCAATACAAGTTAGAGATGGATTTAATCGTTTCAGTGACCAGACTGACACATTTAAAAAGCGATGGATAAGAATTACAACAGAACAGTTGAGAAGCGAGATGTGGCTGAAGAAAAAGTCCCTTAGAAGAAATTTTATCTGATTAGAACGTATGAATGCTTGGTGAGCAGTGCGGAAGTATACCTTTGGTCTGACAATAAGAATACAGTGGTCTCTTTTAGAAACCGGGGCCATTAGTTTGAGAGAGAATAATTTGAAATGATTTCTCAATACTTTTCAACACGGAACTATCTCTGGTAGGAGAATAAGAGAAGTCAGATATACCAAACGAATGCGGGGGAAAATGCGTGCATGATTGAAATCACCAACAAGTAAATAAAGATTTTCATCTGATAATGAAACTAGAAACGGTATATAGAAGTAAAATAAAGCAGGATTTCCTGCTGAGAACAGGAGGGAAATATACGCACAATAATGATGATTGTACTCTGGTGACGGGGAAATTTGAGATGACAACGAACGGACAAACACTTGATTTTTCAGAACAGTCATCGCTTCCGTCTTGCCGCATCAAGAAACATTGATACAGGTTACCACGCCATCTCTAGTTTTTCTCATACTTCACCCCCTATCCTGCCTTTAGCAATCGACGCCTTCTATTTGCACGAGCAGGTCCTCAACGTTTTGATTCAACCAAGTTTATTCTGCTCATACTACACGTATTGGAATTAATGCGTTTGCTCAGAATTGAGGCTAATTCTGAGATCTTAGCCAATGGCAAGCGAACGTTATTGCTAACCAATGATGGCCCGGTCATCTTGGCAGGAGGGGTGCAATTAAGTGCTCTCCTGCCATCATAGATCCTAGACCTTTTTAGCACGAATGTATTTATGAAACGCGATAAATTTCCACTTGACGACCGGCCCGAAAATGTAGCGAAGTCAATCGAAGGTAACCGAGTCAACAATAATAACTGAATAAGTCGAATTGTAAGGAAATTGAATTGAGCGATACGTCGTTCACTGTGGACCAAATTATGCCATTTTTAAATTGATACGGTAGGATTTAAGCGAATTTCCAAGTTTGTATTTTTGCTATCAATTCACCTTAATTTCCTTCAGAAGGTATCATTGCATTCGCTACTGCGATATGACTCTCAGTTTAATGTTTGCTGTACCACTATTTACATATGCTTATTGAAATCACTGCCAATGTCGTGCTGTTTTCTTAAATATCATTCTTTACAGGAGGATGATGCTAAAACAGATCTGTCGGATGAAGCGTTCCATGATTCAGACGAGCCGCTGAGTTCACACAGGAAGCGATCGGAAATGAATCGCACCAAAGGAAGCGCGGCTGAACAGGCTGGACTGAGCATGTGGTCTCTGAAACCCAACTCCTTGGCAGCCATGAGTCGATTTCTACCGGAAGATGCCCGTCTGTTGACGGAATTGTGCGTGTTGATTACCTTCTTACTCACTTTGTTTTCGTCTACTCAGTCAATTTGTTCGTGCTTCTTTGTCTGTATCAGGATAGTGTCAGTCCTTCTGCAGTGGTGTCGTGCCCGAAAAAGCACACTGCTTGTGTGGACGCGCTTTTTGTTGTATGTGTAATGTACTCACCAATGCCACCAATATTGCGTACCATCGTAAATGTCCAACTGGAGTGAACAGGGGTTTAGTATTTCGGGACTTCTATCTTCTGTCCAATCAGTTCCTCCTAATACTAATAATAGTATAATAATGATAGTAACGACGACGAATACTTGTGACTTCCCAGATATTAGATTCCTCTTCCGCGTTCGTCACACTGCAATGATACATCAGAAAACCCGCATACATATTTTTTGGCACCTAAATTAAATTTTAATTCGTATTTTGTCAATTGTTTTACTTTTTCTCACCTGTCAGCTTGGCCACACATCAACTTCCTGGTTTATCTCCATTGGATCAAATGTACTTATTGGGTATCGCCGACTTGATGGCCAATACTCATACAGAGACGACAGAACGTTTAGCTGGTATGCAATCTGCAGCAATGGACGTGTGTGTTCGGCGTATGTCAGTCACGACTGATGGCATAGAAAGGAAGCCAGTACAAACCAATCAAGGTATTTGTTTCACTCTGGCCCGACGGTTATCTGGATGAAATTCATGCAATACGCTCTCCTAGTACATTGTTTGAATCATCCGATTTACCTGAATGCGCCCGGCTTATTATTGTGAATAAAATTATCACAATGTTCGAAGTGCATATTATGAAACTGTTGGATTGTCTTTTAAATAGTTTTATATCTTCTGAGCTCAACACGGAACGTTGGTGATCAGCTAGCGCTATTTCCATTGACTTTCAACTCTCCCCACTTGGAAACACACATACCCGCGATTCCCTGATACTCTACTTCCAACCTTCCCGCTTAATCTATGACTTGGTTATTCAAAATGGTCACTAGACTAGTAAACCAGATTATATTTCCGAGCNGAGCCACTATCCAGGAAACTCGTTTTCAGGGAATAAGTGTATCGTGAGCATCAACTTTTGTATTGCTTACTTTACTTCTACCCGTTTGATACTTCGTTTACTTACTAGTTCCTTTGATTGAAGGTCATCAACGTAAACCGCATAACTTTGAGGATAGGAAAGTGGTTGTTTAATTTGGAAATCAATAAACCATTACTAAAATACCCAGCTTGGGTTGCTTATGCTCTCCGTATGGAACAGTTCCATGCTGATAAGAGTCAAATTTTCAATATTTACCCATGTACTTCTCTTCAACCTTCTCTCAGGATTAGATGAATGTGGACTCCGTTTTCTGCTGACGGTGCAACTGTATTCTTACCTCAGCCGAACGCTGCCTCCTGCTCGACGCGCTCAGCTACTGGTAAGTGTTTCTTTCCATTTATCAAGTCACTTCGCAATGATTGCACCTACTGCTTTAGCACGATTTTCCTCTTCCGAAGTGTTGTGTTGTTATGTTCGCTTTTGCGATAGTTGAAGCACTGCATGGGAATGGTTTACACTTGGCAAACGGCGACTTGACGTCGTGTATTGATTTACTATCATACCAGTGAGCTTCCGAAAACCCTCATCCTAAATATATCATCTCACTACACTCTTTGAAAGGTGTTGAACACCTGTTACAAATACTAACCTAATGATTGCTTTCATGCGTCCTATTCTCGCTCAGTGGACGTGGTTGAAAGTGAGCTAACAGAACAGACCACGCTATGATGGAGGGGAGTAGAAATTTATGAAATATTTGTGACACGTAATCTAATCTTAGTTCCAGGTGATAACACCGATGGTCCTAAGATACCTTGTTTCGGATTCTTGATATTCTTGCCGGACGAAATGCCATCCTTTCCTCGGCTTACAATCTTAAACTAGACTGGTTTATATAGAATGTCCAAACGCTTGTCTTTTGTATGGTTGCGTTGCCTTTCATTTCCAGACTGCTGAAAGCTTTTGTGTTGTTCTTTAGTGGCCAATGTGGTATAGCGCGAAAAACTGCTGAATATTTTTACCACCGGTGATTAGTCTGCAATGTCGATCATTTGCCGTTAAATTGGTGAATTGGAGTTTCAGTAGACATCTTGGGATGTTATTTTGCTCTTAGGTTGTTCATCGAACGGGGTAGTGTCTCAGCACCAATGTGTCGAAATTCGGCAATCACTTTTGAAAAGGGACTGTCGAGCTCATAGACTAACTTAGGCCCACCAATAATGTTGTTGATTATGTACAGAAATACTTCATAGTAACCTCAAAAGGAAAAGCAAAAAGATAAAACTTATAAAGTTTTCAACGTAATTTGATCAAATCTACTTTTAGAACATCATAGAAATTAAGAGAGGTTCCGGGTGGAATGTCTATACACTCTCGAATCCAACTTCAACTTTTACATTGGTCTACCGGTGCAAGCTGTATGCTTATCGATCAACTCTTCCTATGTTTTCGTACTTCATCTAATCAGTACCATTTTTCTCAGGCATTGGTCTCTCATTTCAACCGATGGTCTAACGAGTTGCTACTATTTAAAACCAGTTGTACGTTTCCTGTATGCCAAATAGGTCGAAAGAAAAAGATTAACGAACACTATCTTCTTTATTATCTTGTAATGCCTTACCACTTCATTCGGTATACTTGTAGTCTACCATTGTAACCTGCTACTTCTTTGCTTATCTTTTCTATTTTTCCACTCAGTGATGTCGGATATATTCGCTTTGCTCCGTCATTTACTCTACTTCGCTTCCCTGGTTTGTACGGTGCAATTATGGTCACCATTTCACGCTCAACTGCAGTTTGTTACTCACAATGGGAAACGGTCCTTTGTCAGGTTATATAGGTTTTAATCAATACATATTCGTATTACAGGTAATAAAAATTGAACTAAGCGCATCACTTATGAAGAATTTCTTGTAGCTGTTACGTGTTGGTTCAGTTAATGTTGGCACTCGCACGTGAACAACCGGAAGTGGGCAACCTTGCGAGACACAAATATTGGGCATAACAATTCAGTAGCCTCCTTTGTAATTTTTCCCATTTTCTCCACATCACGTCAGTATCTGTGATAATCAAAAATATGAGGCATGCACTCGCGCCAACTTATGTAACTTATGTATTTTCCCCAGGTAACCTTTGTATGGCCGCAGCCCCTTTCCTGAAAGTTGACTGTACACCTGTACATTCAGTAAATAAAAAAGGAGGTAAAATGATGTTTTTTAGAAGGTCTAGGGCGAACGTGTAGTCAAATAAATTTCACTAATCGTCACTAGGCCACTTCATTTCTTGAGTCTTTTCATGACGCCGATATAGGGGAAGTGCGTAGCGTTTTTCGTTTACTGCGCCGTAAATGCGGTGGTGAATATTTTTTGTAATCCATGAAATGCATCTTTCATCATCAACATATAATCCAATTGAACCTTATTTAAGTAAGTTGTTTTTCGTGAACTGAATAAACTCCAGGTTAGGAAGTCCACAGTTTCGTTCGTTTTTTATTGTTTCAGTTGTCGATTTCATCGTAACTATAATTTTTTTTCTAATTCCGACTTCACAATACATGGTAAACTCCAAAGCACTGGCATTCATAAACTAGATTTCATTAAATCTTATCTTGATCTAATTCGTTTAGCACTGTACAGGTTTGGAGTATTTTTGCTTTGTTTTTCTTGTATCAAATGTACTCCTCGCCTTTCATTTGCATGCATCTTCGAAATAGTAAATTGATAGTTTTTTTGTTCACTTTGATATCCGCATCAAATGATGTATTCATATATCTTTTGGGAGTTACAGTCTTCCGATAATGTAAGTTTTGTGTGTTAGTGTTCGACAGTGAATTTTTCTCTACTTTTATGCGGTAAATTTATCCGTCGACTATATTTCCCCCTTATATGGCTTATTTCCGTGCGAAGAAATGTTGGCTTCATACGCATCCTTCTTCTGACTCTTCGGCAAGGATGGTTCGTGGCCGATCATCCTAGTTCATTGTTCATTTTTGCATTTCATTCGTAAATGGTTGATTTAGTGCAGTAGCGGAAAACACAATAATATTATAATATGAAAAACATTGCTATTTCTACGCGTATATATAGCAGGAACTTCCTGTTGATCGTGGCATGCGCATTCCTTCCACACTTTCATCTTTTCGCCTGCTTGCGTTATCCAGTATTTGAGGTCATGACCGGTATTCAATGAATGAGCAAAGCTTCATCCTAACGATAACCTGTCACACTGCACTTTGCGAATTGTAAATAAATACTTTCTCCTGATAATTGCATTTAACGTATCGCTCAGAATGATTTCATGTATCTATATCATTTAATCAAAGCTTTAAATTCATATGAGCATATATTTTGAATGTTTTCATTTCAAACGTGTACACGGCTTGTCTTATAGATTTTTGCGACAAATACCCTTGCTGTGAGGCATCACCAGTGCACAACAATTTGGTTTCCCAGGAGTAACATTCTAGTTGGAAACTGAAACCCTAACCTGTGAGGTACTCGGTGGACGGGCATCACTTGGAAGTCACGCCAATGTCTATTGAATAGCTTGTTAGAATACCATGCAAATTTACAAAAACCAGGATCTATTCTATGTCATGTACAGATGTCATTTGTAGTTATACTTGTTACAACATTTCATTTTGTACAGATGTTTATGTCACGAAGCTAGCTTAGGAAATGTAGCCATACGAAATATGCCAAATGCTTTGACGGTATGGACGCATCTTTGAAATCTTCTCCAATCACTATGTAGTACAGCATTTGATATCATTACGAGGGTCGACTCCGCACTACACGATCGCCACATCTCGTTTCATAACCAAGCTTCGCAACATCAACATTTATACAAAATGACATGTTACAAAATTCCTTGATCTCAAAATATGCTCATACGTTTTTTATCTGATCCGCCCATAGCGGCACGAGACTAAAGAACTCGGGTTCGTGGCTAAAGATTTGCGGTTTTGACTTAGATAGGAAATGTTTAATAGAAAAACACAACTTTTCCGTGAAACTCCGTCATGGTTTGTATTTTCTCTAGTCAAAACATCACCTAAATCCAACAACCCTAAAGCGCTTAAAAAGTCAGTAACGTTGGATGGAAAGCAACTTTGATCAGGTTGGCTATCACAACTGACACCGATTACCCATTGAGTACAACAATATCCGATTCTGTTAATACAAATGTGCGCATGATCCACAGCGAAATCTGGCGAAAACAATGAATTGGAATCGATAAAAATGCGGTTTTATATTAACATGCAAGTAACTCAGCGTTGATGGAAACAGAACACACCCCAACAGTACAACAACAACACTGTATGAATCACTCAAACAAGGTAGAGTTCGGGCCTATACACGATAGCCACGAATTAGAATCGTTCAAGCAGGAGACTAGCTGACCTAACCAACGTGCAACGAATGTGCGAGCAATGAAGGAGTGTCCTTAAAAGAGGACTGGGGGTATACCTGATCAATACAACGAACCACTGCTCATCGCGATCGGTTCATATAGGAGGAACAGAAACACTGGCACAGACGGAAAGTTGAGAAATAGACCACGATTGATTGAATGCATCACAAATGGAAACAACATAANNGGACTTAGCCCACCGCTGTCATCAATTCGTAATACATGACTGGAGGTTGATTCCGAGCTACACGATCCAAGGTTCTGGTGCCAAGAACGTCGTCACAGAGTGCCACAAAAAACCGTCCTTACGGTGTCGAACCAACTCATACGTGCGGCTCAGCTCGAACTCTCGTGGAGGTAGGAGACACTTCGGATAACAGGTTCTCCGTGGAGGGGAGATTTCGCAGCTACCTTCAATACAGATAAAATACAAAATTACCATGAACCAAAAGGACTAGGGATACATATACACGACTCACACTCAATCCAGAATGGCGGCAACATGCTCCACGTGCCTATCCTTACAAAAGGCGACTGATGGGGAGCAATATCGAGGTTAAATGTATGGCGAAGAATCAAAGATTAGGGCGGCGAACAGACAGGCACGCCAACGGGGTGGTAATAAGGCACGATTAAACAAACGGTTAATCAACCGGGACAACGCACAGACAAAAGCGTATTTAGTGATACGGCACGTGATAAGTTTATGATATGTGATAGATGCGAAAAGAGGTCACACACTGGATGCGTAGTTAGTTAGGTGAAACAGACACCAGGAACTGGGGAAAACGTGTCAGACATAATAAGACCGAATAGGTGAAGTAAGTGAAAAGTAAGAACAAGGTGAATTCTAACTGGGATCTTCACATGGACATCCTGCGGATGGTAACAAGGTACCAATAAAGCAAGAATTAAGACTTCAGGAAGTAGATTAGCTTCAGGGTGAGAGCTATGATAAGTGATATGAACATTCGTAGTAAAACAAATAAAATCAGACACAACGGGTATCATGTGAACAGTCGATTGGACTGAGAAAAGATAGCCATGAGTTGCATACTTTATAGTGCCTTCATAGTTGGTTTTCTTGTGTAGATATTGCATCAAGACAGTCAAAAACACAATTAGACATTAGAGAATTCTCCATACTTGTACTGGCCAAGGTTCTTGGATGTTTATAACCGAGCTGCTCCGGCAAAGACATGTACCTAAGATATATGTCGCGGTTTTATCCAATTCGGGTCAGACATTAGTACCAATGAGAGATAAAGCTGTAATCTTGCTCCGCGTTAAGCGAACAAAGCAACCGGCAAATCGTTACGAGAGCGTTTCCTCCGCCGAGTGAGTAATCCCTACGCGAATATCCGACAATGTTTAGACACCAGTAGCACAGGTTATAGGCTTTCAATCCCTAAATAAGTTTCAGTATGTCACAGCGGCGAGTGAACATGGTTTGATCCCATAGTAACAATGGGTGATTCATTCAGGAAAATTAAGTGCAGCTATTTTATTTGGCGTGTCAATGTCATTGGTACTTGTAGGTCAGATTCTGTCGACCCAAATAAACCGTAATTCCAGAAGCTACGGGCCAAATTAATTTCAAGCACTGGGAACAGAGTAAAAAGTGAGAATGGTGACTTAAATGCCCATTTGAAAAAGATTGCTCTAAATGACTGCGTCAAGATAGATCGCATTTCAAATTCAACAAAAGTTCAACTTTAATTTAGTTGAATTAGAAACTTTCAAACTGCTTTTAGTACTTGCAAAACTCACGGTCGCTGATACATCTTCACTCTCTTGGCACATGTTTTTGTCACCCAAAACTGTTGGTCGTCAGCTCAGTGATGACCTTTATTTCAGCATCGAAAGATATGGTGTAATCGTGTTTGAACGAGCATTCTCCTACGAGCCTGCTTGTTAATCCTGATTGAAAGACTGAATTATTTTCATTGCTTGGAAAGGTTATGTATGAAGTTCTAGCCAATAGGCAAACGGGAAGATAGGAGTACAGCATAGTAATCTGTTAAAAAGCATTAGCTTGTGTAAACTATTCGCGGACAAAAGTTATTGGTGTAACGAACTGATGAAGCAAACCCCGAAGAACGGCGACAGTACACAAGGGATAACGAATCGACTATCTGACACTGAGTGGATGTCTACATTTTGGATGCTAAGACTTATTCGTTGATCGACTGCCTAACGCTTTCTTGAGCCTGATCAAAAAAACAAAGGGTAACCCTACGCGTGATTGTAGTAATCAGCTTCGGTGAAGAGTAGGGTATTGAGCAGTAAGAGCTGAACTAGTATGAAGAAGCATCTGTTCCAGAGTTGGAAATCAATTTTTTGGGTGGAACGAGAAACAAGCTTGAAGATGAACTGGGTTATTATTGTAAAAAGCCACATAATTCATGATGTTGGTCACTGTAATACATTTCATGTTACACATCTCTGAAAACCCTAATCTATGTTGCAGTTAGCTTAGGTGCTGTGTTAGCGGGCCCCGTGATCTATCCCTCAGTTCATCTTGTTCCTACAGAAATCTGTGATCTAACCAATCCGAGATTATTTGGACGGATTCTTCTCATCGTTCTTTGTCTCTAACTACATTAGCATCCTTTCCACGTTCTGTTTGTAACCTTTGCTTAGTAACATTAATGACCGTTTCCAATTAAGCCCGACACCTCCCACCAGATATCTAGTGGTTTTTATGGATTGGTTTATCGGTCTCATGTTACGCAGGCTGTTTCGCTCCCAAGCGATAAAATCTGGTTTCTAATTATTTCTCTTCTTCCAAAAATATTAGTTCTCAGTTCAAATCGGGGAATATTGGAATACCTTTTCCCCTCCGTTGTTAGCCGTTGGTACCGTTTCTTCTCTCCCTCTTGCTGCCAGTATGTTTGATGCCATCGATCTGCAACAGTTTTTCTCGATGCTCGAATAGAATGTATGTATGATACATATGTGGTCCACTTAACTCTAAAGGAACTCTTCTAAAGCGTTCTTTGGCTGTCCCATGCAAAGTGATTTCAGTGATTTTCTCAATGTATCCATTTCATCCGCACAGTAACCTTTATCCTTAATACATACAAACATATACTTTCCAATAGCCTGTATTCGTGTTTGTTGTCCTTTATAATCCATCCATCTTTCGTTGTTTTCATTGTTGAATTGTACATATGTATTTACCATTCACACATCGTTAAACCGCCCTAAACAACTATTGCCCTCTATATTGTTTTACATCCACATCATGTGTCAATTGCTGCGTCCAGTGACCACCAAACAGTTTTACTTGACTCGAATCTAAGTTATACTTTCATTATACCACATCTTTGATACCGGTCGTATAATCACGCATATTTCAAGAGTCTAGTTTTATAGCATTATTTGACTTCCCTTTGCTTTGCTTGTTACCCATCTGTTTGTTCACCCTTGGTTGTGACAAGCTGTAGTGATCATTGCTTCTACTAATGGTCACACACTGGATTGATTAATGTTTAACTCAGCCTCAACAAGTTCACTGTACTGCCTTTGTTCCGTTTGATACCTGTTGGTGTCACTAGTAACCAACTGTTACCTATTTATGTTTCTCTGGAATCATCAACCATACATCCTGTGATAGATTATTCGCATCCTTGTGAAAGAGTTTCATCAATACGCCATAACCTTTCTTCATCTATGTCTTAAGGCCAGCATTGATGTACCCCATATAAGCTTGTATGGTTTCTGTTCTGCGAAATTCTGACTCAATTAACAAATGTTTCATCTCTTCTTGGCACTACCGTCTTCAGTCATCCGGCTTGACCAATTCCAGCTTGGCTTGGGCTTACCACTCGGACGCAGAAGAAGAGTTGCTAACTTGTTTGCCTTCGAGTCAATTCGGGGATGGAACCGAATTGACCTGGAGTGAATTCAAACGCTATGGTTGCGGTTGGTGGATTCGGNCGTCGCTGTGCGGAAAAAGTACGACAAATTGATCATTTGAATAATGCTTGTTTATATACTAGTGTGTTGCTATCATCGTTACTCGGTAGCGTTCCGTCAAAATCGGCAGGTCATGGTTATACTTCATATTATAACCGTATCTTTTATAATTTTCGATTATCCGTTTTCGTGAGCATAGTTGCTTTCTGGATAGTTTGAGTGCTAGTGTAGCCATGTTCTGTGTCTGTGAAAGGTCGAGTGTATGCCGCGACAGTTCGGCTAGTTCTGCTATATGACGCAGAAACTTGACCCTTAAGAAAACAGGACAAAGGTAGA